ATGGCTTGCACATGGAGTGTATCGCAAGGTGCTGAGAGATATCCTGGATCGCACGGCGCAGGCGGTGCAAGAGGCGCTTTTGTGCCGTTGGTTGGCGTTTCACCTTGCTTGGCCATGTTGTGTCAGGTTGCTTGTACGAATTCCTGTGACGGGCTGGACTCGATTTGTGCATGATGTGACTGTGCATCGCATAGCAGCTGTCAGCGCTACCGGATACAAGCCAACGCCTAGATGTGGCATATACGCTTCCTTTCTTATCCTTTTCGAACCATCCAAAAAGGCGGTCCACTTGCCAGATGGGCAATTTTCCATTCAACGCCACCGGCTTCAATATGTCTTTGGTTTTCCACGAATTGACATTCCGGACCTGAACTTGACAAGGCTTCGGGCTCAGCCAATGTTGGGCTTTTCGACATGCCGTTTTTTGCCTGGGAGTATTGTCGGGTTTCTCATTTGCTTTGGCTTTTCCGCAAATGTCGAGGTGTCCAACTGACATGTGTGGTTTTCCTCTCCCCAGTTTACATCATGGCTGGTTTGCACCTGTTTGTTCCAAGAGCCACACAACACAAGGAGCATCATTTGTTGGGTCTCCCTGTTTTGACATTTTCTCAGCTGTGTTTGCTTGCTGGCTCGGTCTGCGTGGGAGCAGGTCAAGCCAAACTGGTGGGCTTCGACGGCATGGGTTGTAGCAAAGAGAACATAGCGAGGACTGATGCCAAAGAGTGCGTTGCCTTGATCAATGCTCCATTGACTGCTCGCTGCGGTGGTGGACTCTTCTTTGAGCTGTTGTAGCTCTTTGGTGCCCATGCAACTGGTGGTTTGACTCCATGCCAAGTGATTTGAGGTGTGTCAATGGTATCCTTCTCGAAACGGTTCGCTGGACGCTCACAGGAGCTCTGACACCTGTAGCGGGCAGCTCAGGAGGAGCGATTTGGCAGACGTCATCCCCTCAGGCTGAGAGCTGACGCTGCGAACTAAAAATTTGAGAGAACCTCCAAGTGCTGCACACCTTTGGATCATGGGGGGGAGGGAGGCGGGGGCGGGGGAGGGAACCCCAAATAAGCCCCAAATGAGGCCTTATTGGGGGCTTAGTAAGGGCTTATTTGGGCTCCCTCCCCCCACCGCCCCCAGTCCCCATCATTAAAATCGCCTTGAGATGTGCTTCGGCCGTGCCATGACTTCGCTGAAAGCTGGTGATAGCCAACTAAATTGCTGGAGCTTTGCACGATAGCTGTTGAGGGTCAAGCCAAGGGGTCAAGCCTGGCAATCGTCTGAGCAGCATGGGGTGCGCACCATGTACAGGCCAGCAGCCTTTGCTGCCTGATGTGTTTTCTCGCAGCCTGCCAAGCGGCATGGCCAGCGATCTGTCTGCTCCGCAGTTCAAGGATATCGATGTGGCTGTAGCGGTGACTCAAGCGAGTATCAACGCCACCATGAAGGAGTTCCTTTCCAAAGCTTCGAGCCTTGAAGTTCTGAAGTGCTTCGTCTACAAGAAGGGCACGACTGACATCGTCGAGATCCCATATGCGGAGCTGAAAGCGAATGCCCACGGCTCTGATCCTTTCACCTTGAAGGATGGTGCAGATCAGACTAACAAGGATGTCTTCAATTTGGCCACGCTGGGCTTTGTGGGAGCCTTCAAGGCTAAGGGTGGCTTGCCAAGTGTACCACCTGCCAATCTTCCGTCCATTGTGGGTTTGGGTTTGCACAGTGACTCCCGGTTGGATTTCAACCTCACCATGTCCGAGTTCCAAATCGTAGGCCTCATCCTGTCTGGTTTCAGCAGAGCGACGGCGATCAACAAGACCCAGCCCACAGGGGCCGGGGCCAAGCCATGGTACTACAACTTCAAGGTGAGGGGATTGTCAAACCTTTGAGCCACGACATGTCTCTGATTCTTGCGTTCAACCCCTGGTAGCCTTGGAGAAGAAGCTAGGGGAGCTCCTAAAGTGAAGCTTGCATAGGACACTTTACCTGTTTTCTCCATTTTCGGTTTCTCGGCGCAGAAGCGGCAGGTGGATCTCACCCAGGTCACGGAGGACCCCAACAAGAAGGTGCCGGCAGATGTGCGCGCGCGCATCCAGCACCTCATCTCGACGGTGGGGCCGGGGGCCTTCAGCGTCCAGAAGCTGCTCTTAGACCTTGAGACGGCTTCGCTGGTTGCCAACCCGGTGATCGAGGGCGTGAGCGACAGTGCCAGCTTCGGGCCCACCTGGAAGATGATCTCGGAGATCTTCACGGGCGCCTACTTCGCGGAGCTGCGGAAGACAGGGAGCCCCATCTTCAACTACACCATCACGGCAAAGAAGGCCTTGCCACAGTCGACCTTGACCCTGAAGTCATTGGTTCACTCCACCGCCCCCTACATCAATGAGGGGAAGCCCACTGCAAGTACGGCTGCGTGCTTGGTGTACAACCTGACCAGACAGCCGACTCCACCAGGCATTGTTCCCTTTACTTGGAACTGGGTCAACCAGGGTGAGGTGGGCCAGATGTCAGGAGTCTTGGCAGTGCGCCGGGCGGTCTTCGCCGACTACCTCACTGGGCTGATGGCTTCCCCGAGCAGAGGACTGTGCTGGGATACGACAGCTCGAACGACACATTCTGGGATGGATTTTTCAATCTACGCGAGCTGCAGTCCCGCCCAAAACCCCGCTGCCTTTGAGGCAGTTCATGCGACGTCCGGTCCGCATGGGGGGCTGATTACTCACAAGCTGTCCTACTCTCATACCTCAAGCGACACCTCTGTAAACTCTTCTGACACGGTTTCCATCGCCATGGACTTCGACTTTAGGCTCAGTGGAAGCATTGAGCTTGCTGGCACACAGATCATCATCACAGTGAACCCCGTGGTGGATATGGGTTTTCGTCATCATGAGCTGGGTGTTCACTACACCGACCTTGAGAAGCAGAACTACTACGACAAGATACACACCGTGACCTACGACCTTGGAGTCAGCGCTCAGGGCCAACTCACGGCCACAGCAACCACCAAGACCAAAGACAACTCTGCATCCTGGGCATGGAGCTCCAAAGGCATCGTGGGGCTGACTGGCGCGGAGCAGGATGTCCAGAACGGTTTGCTAAGTGCAACGGGAGACCTGGATAGCAATCTGGACGGTGCCTTTGACGTGTTTGCAAGCACAATGACGCACACCCTGAATGACGCTCAGCAATGGGTTTTTCCCGGTGCAGACACCTTCGTCACATCCCACGTCTTCTTCTCAACGGACTGTGACTTGGTGACTCAGCTGAGGTATGCGAGCCCCAACATGATGAGCCTCGTGAAATCCGCTGCCGTTGCGGCTGCGCCCATTGCGGGGCCTTCCCGACCTCCTGTGCGCGTGAACACAAACTACAAGATCGAGACATCTGCGGAGCTCATGACGAACTACGTGCAATCTGACATCCTTCAGCCGCAGAAGAAGTTCCAGGCTTTGCAGACGCAAGCGGGGCTGTCGCTGCTCTTCAGCATTGGTACCAGCGACGAGTTCAATGTGGTGGTGGAGGAGGTTGGGAAGAGCAAGCACGGCTGGGCGCTGTGCAGCTTGTCGCAGAGCCTGGTGCAGCAGGAGTTCAGCGCTGGCAAGGTGGAGACCTTCGCGGTGTCCCAGATGGCCGGCGACGCGGTGGACCGGAAGATCCATGTGGCGATGTCCGTTGAAGCGAATGGCAACTCTCACTTGTACCTGAGTCTCAACAACTCGGATGCAGATTTGGCCTGGACGCAGAACATCCCTTGGATGGCCGTGCCTTGGAATGCCGTGGACAGCACTGGGCAGAAGATCGCGAAGCCGGATCCGCTTCGCATTGCCAACATCACTCTGACCCAAGGCGCCGAGGAGTACGTCGTCGTTGACATCCTGCGCAATCAGACTGCAGCTCAGCCTCTCTTGGAGCGCTATTGGATCGACACCAGCCAGCCTCAAAACCCCAAGTGGGTGAAGCACAGCATGGCGGCCGATTTCGAAGCATCCAGCTACCACTCGGCGTTAGGCCGGGCTGCGGGTGACTGGGTGGATGGCATCTACACCATGGGCAAGGTGCGGAGTCAGGCGCAACTGACCTATGTCCCTGTCTACAACGGCTGGAACCCGACCCTGCCGCCGCCGGTCTCACGCCTCTATCTGCCAGACCACTACCTACCTGATGCCTTCGCAGCTTGTCACGGGGTTGACCAGAACTGGACGGACCTCTACGTAGCCTCCCAGGGTGGCCTCTACTACTTTGCAGCCACCAACCAGGGGGATGGGGCGGTTGCTACGAAGCTCGTCTCCGAGCCAACGCTTTTGTCAGGCTTGGGTTTCAATCGCTTTCGGCGAAAAACCGCCATTTTCTTCAGAGGTTTCATGTTTCGGCTGCTTTGGCCTGTTTACAGGCGTGCGCAAGCTCTTCGCGGCTGAGGCTTCTGGACAGGTGACCGTTTGGGGGCTGGACGGCAACAGCCAGATCTTCTACCTCACCTGCAAGTCCTCGGACGTGATGAAGCCCGAGGCCTGGAGCGTGCCATTGCCCATCGTAACAGGGGTGGATGCCGTGTCGCCCTACGTGGATCGCAAGTTGCTGGCTAACACCTTCTTCGCCCACGACGGCACAGGCCTGGTGAAGTGCGTGAAGACCCCCAGCACGGGGCTCTGGACGAGGCGGCACATTGAGCTTCCGCCATCGAGCTATACCCAAGACTCGCGCGCCTTCAAGAGCTTCACCACGGAGATCAAGGTCACCAACAAGGACACAGGGGTCCCTGCTGGTCGGGTTGCTATCCAATTGACCTCCACCACCGCCACTTCGGTGAACATCAACCACCTCTACTACGTGGTGGGTCCGGAGCCCGTGACCGTGCAGACCGACTCAGACGGCACGGTGACCATCGTGGAGTTGACGCACAACTTGGTAGCTACACGCTTTGCGGTGCAAGTGGCTGGCGCCGACTTGGCAGCTGAAGGGGTGCTGGTGAATCCCATGCAGAGCGCCTTCAAGCGCAACAGCGCCCTTGACACCAAGGAGAAGTTGAAGGACGCCAAGGTCACGAAGACGGATGGTTCTCAGGAGCCTTTCATCCCGGATGGTGTGGACGACGATACCTTGGATCAGATCGCCAAGATGAACAAGAACCTGGATGCAGCCCACAAGTCCGTGGAGAAGAAGGCGCTGCCGCTTTTGCGTGCTGAGCCCATTCTGCTTGGACATTCACATGCTTCACTGCAGCATCGCTTCGGGGACCTGGGCGAGGTGAGAAGCGTAGACATCGGTGACCTCTACAGCTGGTTAAGCTCTGGCATCAAGGCAGCCATCGACATCGTGAAGGATGCAGTCTCGGGGCTGTATCACTTTGTGGCTGAGATCGGGGGCAAGCTCTTCGCAGCAGTCTTGGACTGTGCTGAGAAGATTGCTGCCGCAGTGGTTTGGGTGTACAACCAGGTGAAGATGGCCATCGAGTGGATCATCCTTTTCTTGGAATTCTTGTTTGGCTGGAAAGACATCCTGCTGACCCACAATGTCATCAAGAAGTTCATCATGCTCACTGCCGCAAACTTCGTGAATGACATAGGGGGAGCCAAGAAGGAGGTGAAGAAGGTCTTTGGCGACTTCAAGGCCCACATCGCCGAGTGGACTGGTGCGAAGGTGCCCGGAGCCACGGAGACGCCTGCCGAAGCTCTCAAGGCTCAGGTCAGTCAAAAGACCTCAGCCCCCGGCAACCTGGGGACCCATCACTTCAAGGGCAATGCGCGCCGCGCCAGCGCGCAGCAGTCAGGATCCGGGGTGCCTTCCGCCCTTCAGCTCATTACGGACCTCTGCGAGAAGGAGGAGCAGGCCATCTCCAACGCTGCGACTGCGGTGAAGACGGAGGTGATCGATCAGTTCTCCAGCTTGGACTTGGGGCAAATCATCGAGCGCCTGGTGGGCATCATCGGCATCACCCTGGTGGATGGCACCGAAGACATCGCACTGGAGTTGTTGTCTGCGTGCGAGGCCCTGTTGCCGCAGTTGATGGGCATGCTGGACAAAAGCATTCACATTCCGGTGCTGTCCTGGCTGTACAAGTTCCTCACTGGGAATGAGTTGTCCTTCTTGGACTTGCTGTGTCTCATCGCCGCCATCCCAGCCACGCTTTTCGGCCGGATTGCCAACGGCGGCCATGCGCTCTTCTCCTCAGGCGATGCTTGGGTACAGCGCATGCTGGATGCCAAGACCATGGAGGATTGGAGCAACGCCCCGTGGGCCACGCCGCCCAATCTTGCGTCTCTTGGAGCCAGTGATGATGATGACCTCAAGAAAAAGAAGCTACAGGCGCTTGCCCTAGGATTTGGCGGAGGTGCCTGCTTCGTCATAAACTTCTTCCTTGGCAAGGTTATCGGGGATCTGAAGGATGACGAGTTTGTCGATGAAGATGCCATCAAGCTCCTCACCACGCTCAAATGGATCTGTAGCATGGCCGTCTATGCGCCGTACCTGAACCAGGAATACTTCGAGCAGATTGGACAGGCCAAGAAGTGGTACAGCTCCATGGGGAAGATCGTGGGTGTCATCGGCAAGTGCTCGGGCTTCTTGAGGATCTTCTATTGCGTGAAGCCCAAAGGAATGTCCGCCGCCGGCTACAAGAAGGTTGGCATCATGTTTGCCACAGTCAGCACCGTGAGCGGAGTCTTGAGTCTCATTCCGGACACGGTGAGCTTTGTGATGAAAGAGGACCTCTCAGCGCATTCATTCATGAAGACCCTCAGCTTCATCTCCGGCGACGGTGCATCGATCCTTTCGCTACCCATCCAGCTCACCGACGACCCAGATTTGGAGATGGCCCAGCTGGGCTTGACCCTCACCTCCGCAGCGCTTGGGGTGGCATGGCCATTCGCTTGGCTGGCCGAGTGATTCGTTTTAACAGGCCGCTGCTTTGGACGCCAATGATTAAATGGCATCGAACACGTATAGTTTGGTTCCTCTGGGTAGCGGAGAATCGAGTGGCACAGGTGCCTTCGACCGTTCAAACCGGCCCTTTCGCTTGCATGCAATCCAAAGAGATGCCATGCGGCGCTCTTGCATGGATTCAAAGAGAAGCCATGCAACGTCAAAATCACCCACCATGCTTTCATGGATTGGAGCGCAGCAAGCATCTCCCAGCTGCTTGACACTGGCTTTCTGCTGCGCTGGTTCAGGTTGAGTGCGGTGCGGGCTCGGCTGGACACTGATGGCCAGAGGCGTTGAACCCCGGGTAGATGAAGGTTAGTCAGGGACACTCCGTCTTCTGAATTCTTTACATGGTTCTGTGGGTAGACGATTTGGATACTGGGTTGTGATGTTGTGATTCTGACTCATGTCCTAGCTGTGTTGGTTGGCCTTGTTGGCCCTGTTGGCCCTGTTGGCCGTGGGCCAGGTAAAGAGGAGCTTCGAGCTTCCAGCCTGGAGAGCCAGATGTAGCAGGCTCGGACCTGTGACTGGTGGCAGGTCTCTTTTGATGGAAGTGAATCTGTGCCCAACTCAAAGCGATGGAAGATGTGGCAGGTCTTGGCCCTTTCTTTTGCAGTGTGCGTGTACGTCAGAATTATCTGTGATTAGCCATGGTTTAATCCATCACCAGGGATGTCGCGATAGTGACTGACCGGTGGCGTTTGGCTCAAGTTTGCGGGTCGGTCGCGCCTCGGATGAGCGTCGCCGGGTCCCCGCGTCGATCACCTTCGTGTCGGTGGAGAAAGAGACATCGGCCCGGGGCAGATTGGTGGGGTCCGCCCGTGCGGTTCATCGTCGATCAAGGTTGCGGGTAGTAGTAAGGAACACAGGCCTATTGCACCCAATTAATTTTCGTTGTTTGGCCGAAAATCCCTGCAAAACAGCCAAATTCTCCATCCTGCTGAACATTTTTCCGATGTCACCGGTCGATGTCACCGCTCCATCTTGGGTCGAAAAAGTGCTTAAAACGGCCAACTTCCCGAATTCCCGAAAAGCTCGTTTTTTCCTGTCAGACGGCAAGCGAGGTACCTCAGCCTCTAGATTTGCTCGGTTTCGGCCGAACAGGCTCCAGACGCGCACGCTGCTCTCGATTTCCGTTTTCTGCCCCGGAAAGCTGGCAAGTTCCATCCCGCTGAGCTTGTCACCACTTGTCACCGCTACGTCACCGCTCTCTTTTGGGTCGAAAAAGTGCGCAAAAACGGCCAAGTTCCCGAATTCCCGAAGACTTCGTTCTTCACAGGATTTTCCGTTTTTCGCCCAAGCACGGCAGCCTGCCGAGGTCCTCGCTCATGGCCCGACAACCTGCCGAACTTGTCACCGCCTTCGTCAGCGGGTCTAACACGCCAACATGCCGAACGTCCAGAGGGACTTCCAGGGCTCGAAATCTTGGCAAGTTTGAGTCAATATTGAATCGGCTTGAAACAATCTTGGTTCATTAATGGGCAAAGGTTGCCCGGTCGCAGGCGGGATTTGAGCCCTAGACCAGGGTGGTGTAGAGACTGAGCTTAACCACTGAGACAAGGGAGCTTCTTTTGCTGGAGAAAGCAGCCGGCCGAGCTTGTCAGCGCTTGTCACCGCTTGTCGCCGCTTGTCACCGGGGCGCTTTTGGGTGGAAAAAGCAGCCGGGCTGGAGCAAGCTGCAGATTTCCAACCACAGCGCGGCCTCCGACAGCGGCCCGGAGCTGCGGCTGCTGGGCAACCCAAGCGCGGGTCTTCCTGGAGCGGGACGGCGGGGCGCACCAGTGCGAGCTCATCATGATCAACGACGCGCGAGGAAGGCTCGGCGCTGGAAACTCTCAACCAGATCCTGGCGAACTCTCACGTGGAGCGGGGGGACTGATGTCTCCCGCGCGCCTTCTCGGAGCTCTGGACACCAGGGATTCTCGAGAGTCGAGGAGGCGCAAATATCGACCGCGGAGAGACGAAGATCGAGACCGAAGGAGGGACGATCTTCGGGATCGTCGTGGTGATGATTCGCTCGATCGAGAACGAGATCGAAGGCGAGACGATCGCAGGAGATCCGAGAGGGATCGTGACAGGGACCGTGCGCGGGGCGGAGACGTGACGATAGCCGATAGGCTAAGTCACGGGGGTTGCAGCCGATAGGCTTGCGCCCGTTCTCAAATGGTTGGCGCGGCGCGGAGGCGGTGATGCTCCTTCCGAACCGCTGAGGCGCGGAGATCATGTCTCTCCCGCACCGCTGCTCGGCTGCTGGTCGTGCGCACCATGAAGTAGTGTGAGTGAGAGGGGATGCAAACTGGTGGAGGATACTCCCAGGTTTGCGGAATTTGTGTATTTTTAATTGGGTACGCATGATCAGGAGTACTTCTTGCCGATAGGCGAGAGTACCGATGGACATATACGTTATCCTTTGTTTTACTTGCATTGTTGATGCAAACAGTTGTGGCCTAGTGTCGTCATGTGGACTCTTCCACAAGGTATGTTGGACAGCGCTACCCCGATTAATTCGGGGTGGTGGCGGGAACTTAATGCCCGGGATGTCGCGCAACTGCCTTTGTGGGTTTGCTCCACCGCTGACGGCGGTAGTGTCCAGCTGTTTGCGAACGCATGCGAGCAGTTAAATCCTATCAGTGAATGGCACGCTCCACCCGTCATATGACGGGCTCCTCGTGAGGGGGGTGTGATTAGCCATGGTTTAATCCATCACCAGGGATGTCGCGATAGTGACTGACCGGTGGCGTTTGGCTCAAGTTTGTGGGTCCGTCACGCCTCGGATGAGCGTCGCCGGGTCCCCGCGTCGATCACCTTCGTGTTGGTGGAACAAGAGACATCGGCCCGGGGCAGATTGGTGGGGTCCGCCCGTGCGGTTCATCGTCGATCAAGGTTGCGGGTACTTGTTTACTTGTTTTGGTTTTTCCCTTTTGGTTGTTGTTCTCTGGTGTGTGGGAAACCCTGATCTTTGGGACCGGGGATTGGTTTGCTTTTGGGGAACCTTTCTTTGTGGCTTGTTTACCCCAACTAACCCATTGCCTGGGCACAGGTTCGTGTCCGAATCACATTCCAACAGATGCGAAAGAGAAGCCAATCAGGGCGAGTCATTTGTTGAGGGTACTCTCTCTCTGTTTGGGTTGGTTGAAAGGAAGGAAGCCAACCCTATTTTTGTGGGTCTGTGTGGGAGGTCAAGCAAAACTGGTGGATTCGACGGTTGGAATAGGATAGAACAAAGAGAGAGGAAGAGTGCGTTGTCAAACAAGTGCTTCACATGTGGTTTGGAAGTGCTGAGATGTGCCTCGGCCGTGCTTCACTTGGGAGCTGAAAACTGGCGAGCCAGCAGCCGCACAGCTTGAGCTCTGAACGATAGGAGCTTTTGAGGGTCAAGCCAAGGGGTCAAGCTGGGCAGTCGTCTGAGCAGCATGGGGTGCGCCCCATGTTCAGGCGAGCAGCCTGCGCCTGGTGAGCTGCGTGTCGTTCAAAGCGGCATGGCCAGCGATCTGTCTGCTGCGCAGTTCAAGGATATCGATGTGGCTGTAGCGGTGACTCAGGCGAGTATCAACGCCACTATGAAGGAGTACCTTTCCAAAGCATCGAGCCTTGAGATTCTGCAGTGCTTCGTCTACAAGAAGGGCACGACTGACATCGTCGAGATCCCATATGCTGAGCTGAAGGCGAACGCCAAGGGCTCTGATCCTTTCAGTTTGAAGGATGGTGCAGATCAGACTGACCCGGACGTCTCGAATTTGGCCACGGTGGGATTTGTGGGAGCGTTCAAGGCTAAGGGTGGCTTGCCAAGTGTACCACCTGCCAATCTTCCGTCCATTGTGGGTTTGGGTTTGCACAGCGACTCCCGGTTGGATTTCAACCTCACCACGTCCGAGTTCCAAATCGTAGGCCTCATCCTCGCTGGTCTCGGCAGTGCGACTGCGATCAACAAGACCCAGCCCACAGGGGCAGGTGCCAAGCCATGGTACTACAACTTCAAGGTGAGGGGATTTTCAAACCTTTGAGCCACGACATGTCTCTGATTCTTGCGTTCAAGCCCCGTAGCCCTGGAAAAGAACGCCTCAAACAGGGCATCAATGAGCAGAGGGGTGCGAATAGATTCTATGAAGTCTCTTGCACCCCACACGAGTTACGGCCTCAGGTGGATCTCACACAGGTTGCGCAGGACCCCACGAACAAAGTGCCTCCGGCAGTGCGCAATCGCATAGAGCAGCTGATTTCGGAGGTGGGCTCAGGAGCCTTCAGCGTGCAGAAGCTGCTGCTGGATTTCGAGACCGCTTCGCTGGTGGCCAATCCGGTGATCAAGGGCGTGACCGATTCCTCCTCCTACGGCCCCACTTGGAGAACCATCTCCAAGGTCTTCACGGGCGCCTACTTTGACGAGCTGCGCAAGACGGGAAGCCCCGTCTTCAGCTACTCATTCACGGCAAAAGAGGCCTTGCCACAGTCGACCTTGACCCTGAAGTCATTGGTTCACTCCACCGCCCCCTACCTCAATGAGGGGAAGCCCACTGAAAGCACGGCTTCGTGCTTGGTGTACAACATCACCGCACAGCCGACTCCACCGAACATTGTTCCCTTTACTTGGAACTGGGTCAACCAGGACGAGGTGAGCGAAGTGTCAGGAGTCTTGGCGGTGCGGCGCGGTGTCTTCGCTTCCTACCTCACGGGACCGCTGGCTTTCTCCAGCGGACTTTGCTGGGATACGGGCTGTAGCCTTAGCCACGACTTTGAGGACTTCACCATCAGAACCAGCTGGGGTTCCTCTCAGCACCCCAACTCCTTCGTGGCAGTTGATGCGAAGCCCGGGCCGAACGGGCTGATTACTCACACACTGTCCTACTCTCATACTGCCAGCGACGACTCTGAAGACGCGCTTCACACATGTACCATCTTCATGGACTTCAACTATAGCGTCACTGGAACCGTTGAGCTTGGTGGCACACAGATCATCATCTCGGTGACCCCCGTGGTGGAGATGGGTTTTCATCATCACGAGCTGGGTGTTCAGTACACCGATCTTCCCCTGAGGTCCTACTACAAGAAGACCCTCACCATTACGTATAGTCTCAGCACCACGGATGGCAAGCTCACCGCAACTCAGTCCACCAAGACGGTGGACAACTCTGCAGATTGGGCCTGGGATTCGCAAGGCATCGAGGGGCTCAGCGGCGCAGAGGATCAGCTCAAGGGGCAGTTGCACTCCACAATCTCAAGTCTCAACGATTCGTTGGACCGCTCCTGTCAGGATTTCGCACAGTCGTTGACAAACAACCTCAACGACGCCGAGCAGTGGATCTTCCCCGGCACGGACAGCTTCGTGGCCTCGGACGTCTTCTTTTCAAGCGACTGTGACTTGGTGACTCACCTGAGGTATGCGAGCCCCCAGATGATGAGCCTCATGCAAGGTGGTGGCGCCGAAACGGCAAGTTGAGTCGCTCGCTTCCATGTGACGGCTCTCCACTGTATAGACTCGCATCGGCGATTCTGTTGGCTCGCGGGTCGTGAGACTTGTGAGCCATTGTGCAAAGAAACGCTTCATGGAGAGCCAAAGCGCCATCCATGGCTCCAACACTGGAGAAGGTCTTCAAAGATCTTCCCAGTCCAGGCCCCAGCCCCGTCTCATGATACGATTGGGTGTTTCTGCCAGGGGCGGTTTTCTGAGTGGCGACCAAAGGAAAGCAAACACGGTTTGGGGCACATACCCACATGGGCCATAGGGAAAAGTAAAAAATCACCCAAATACCAGCTGAATGGGAGGATCCGAGTCCTTGACATGGGTGTGTCTCAAATGGGAGGAGGGGGCCCCAGAAGAAGTGAAAGCAACTGCATGAATGGCAACTTGCCTGATAAATGCAGCACCCCGCAGGTGGCAAACGCATGGGGAGGGCTTCCGTCTTGAATGTTTTGAGGGGGGTTATGGCCAAATTTGCCCTCTAAGCATAGTTGTTATGGGAAGGTAGCTATGGCCCTGATGAAATCAAGCCACCTGGTCGTATGGCCAGCCCGGCTATTTGTTTGAGGGGAGACAAACCGATGTTAGTGGGATTCGGAGGGAGGGGGTCCTGGAAGCAAGCATGAGTGTGGCGGCAGTATCATATTAGTTTTGGTGAGAGTTCAACTCTGGGGATCCTGACCTTCGGTTCAGGCTTTCAAACCGCATGGTCTCTCTGGGGAAACTCCCTGTGAACACCTTCATTCGCTGCGAAAAGTTCTGTCACGACCCCCTTATCAAGGCTCCTGTTCTGGAGGTCCTTGAAGATCCTCATTACAGGGTCAAACAAGCTCACCCATGGTGATGGCTGCTTTATTAGGGATCCCTTGCTTCGGGCTGGTGAATTATGATCATTCGCTCTCAGATGAATTTGGAGTCTTGGCGTTGCTGCTTTCCCTGATTCTGTGGCCTCGGCCCCCTTTCAGCCAAGCATCCAGAGCCACAGCAAATGCACTCTTTTGTGAATCGACGATGGTGGTGAACCAGATTTCCGGATGTCTCCAGATACGCCACATCAAGTGGACTCTTTTTGGATGTCCCGAATATATATATATATATATATATATATATATGTGTGTATATATATATATACAGTAATGATAACAAACAAACATAAGAAGAAACAAAAACAGGAAAAGGCCTCGAGACCTTTGCGCACGCGCCAGGCGATTTGACTGGATGGCGTGTGCTCTCGGGCGCAAGCGGATCGGGCAAGCGGGATCTGGACAGCCGCTCGGCGAGAGCTGCCTTTTGCTCCGTAGAAACTGTGTGTGCGTACTCATGTGTTTCGCGGTAAATAGAGGAATATGCATATGTATTGTGTACTATATATATATATTGTGTATATTATATGTATATGTTTCTATGCAGCTATGCATATCATATCACGTGTGTGTGTGTGGTCCCCACCAATATCCACCTTGAGGCCTGTGTTTGCAAATGAGGGAGGCTTCTCAAAGGTTCCAGCCGTCAAATCTGAGCCTCGCTCAGGTCTCGTGATGGCTGGGGTGAACCCGTGCCCGTGGCCCAGTACTCGGTTGCAGAAGCCCCGCGCCAGTTTGCGCAACGTGCTAAACTTCAGTTGCAGAGTTCACGTATTTGACTTCCCACTAAAGCAGCCGGCGTGTGCGTTTGCAGGTAGATGCAGACCCCTGCCCGATTACGACCTGCGCAACCTTTAACATCTCGGGCATGTCTCGGACATGTGGACGCAGCTTCAAACAGCTTTTGGCTTGAGATACATCAATCAACGTGCCACAATTCATCCATGTGTATACTTGCATCCCTGGTCCGGCAAGGCCTTGAGCCTGCAGTGGAGCAAGCCCAGGTAATTACAGACAACGCGCCGTGTTGATACATTCCCAGTTTCATTCACATCTGGCACTCCCACTATGACAAGTATGTATACCTATGTACTATATCATAAAATTACTTCGCTTCGAGCAACCCCCACCCTCCACACTCACGAGCTTACGACCGTCAAACTCCACTTGTCTGCGAACTGATCTCGAGAACTCGAACATCGGTTCCGTTAACAAAAGCCAAGCCCCTTCCAAACACAAACCTGACGGGGGATTAAACGAAGTTGCTTATTCACAACCCAAAGCAACACAAAAGCTTCCCTTTCCGATCTCTCGCAAAACGCGAGGGCAGCCCCACTGCGCGCCGGGCGGGACATTAAGCAAAACCAGACTGGCGAGCTTTTCTGGCGGGACACTGGCGGGATCCACTGGCGAATAATGGCGAGCCGCTCCGGCTTGATACTGGGAGGATACTCGGCAGGATCCACTGGCAAGGGATACTCAGCGGGATACTCGGCGGGATCCACTGGCGAGCTACTGTGTGGGATACTCAGCGGGATACTCGGCGGGATCCACTGGCGAGCTACTGTGTGGGATCCACTGGCGAGCTACTCTGGCGGGATACTCGGCGGGATCCACTGGCGAGCCTCTCTGGCAGAATACTCGGCGGGATCCACTGGCGAGCCGCTCTGGCAGAATACTCGGCGGGATCCACTGGCGAGCGGCTCGGCGGGATACTCGGCGGGATCCACTGGCGAGCCGCTCTGGTGGGATACTCGGCGGGATCCACTGGCGAGCAGCCCTGGCGGGATACTGGGCGGGATCCACTGGCAAGCAGCTCTGGCGGGATACTCGGCGGGATCCACTGACGAGCTGCTCTGGCGGGATACTTGGCGGGATCCACTGGAGAGCTGCTCTGGCGGGATACTGGGTGGGGGCGTGGTGTAGAAGCATCGCAAACGTGGATTCCAACATAAAATCTAACAACCCCTTCCTGTCGGGTGGGGAAATATGCACACATACATATGTACAAGTCTTTGTTCCTTGTCTCGGATCAGTTGCGTGTGGCGTGTCGAAGCTTTTCGAGCTCAAGTCCTGACATGCAGCGAATGAAGTCATTCAGCAGATTGGCGTGGGACAAAGACTCGCGAGCTGTTTGAATGGTCAAGACACAAGTGCAATGCCAACGCGATTGAAGACGTGCAGGCAGTGGAACCCGCCCCAGCTTCAACTAGGGCGGCAAAGGCCAAACATCTTCCTTGTCAAATATTGGAGAGCCTATGGAGATGGAAGATGGCTCAAGTGCTCCCTCGTCGCATCCTTAGTCACTCGCCTCCACACAGTGCTAGCCCAGACCATTCTTGCAATGCTACGTTGTAGTTCGCTGGCTGTTTCAATGTGTTATGATTTCCGAGACAGTGCATGAGCACGCACGCACGTTCCCTGCCGTATCCCGCGTCACAGAAATGGCAAATATACGGCGCGCGACACAATATTTTATTGGGCCATTTTTACCTATCAGTCAAACAAGAGACCACTGCAATGGACCTCATGTAAGATTGATGGCTCGGTGAATGAGGGCACGGAAAGATGAGACTCTGCACGATGGGCTTGGAATATTGAAGCCAGTCGAAAAGGCGGCCAAGCAAGAGAGGTATTGTGAATTACAACGGGAAGCAAGACGAGCTTGACTGCAGGTTGTGACAGATAGACTGGGCGCACTGAGCGGGGCATACCGCAGCCCAATGTTTGACACACAATTAAGTCCAAGATGGACGCCAAGATGGACTCAGGAAGTCTCTCAAGCCACCAAGGGGGGGGATGAGCAACCTGCCAACAGAGCACCTTTTTTTGACATGTCATTCATATGCATTCATATGATGAAGATGCCTTGATGTGTTGGGCCTTTTGGCAAGGGGAAGTTCTCATTTAAGCTAAGGCGTTCCCAGAGTTCACAGCCAGCTCCAGCGACGGCTTCGATGGAGGTCAGCGTGGCATGCCGAAGATCCGAAGATGCGATTTTTCCATCTACATCTTTGAGACATCTTCGCTTGCCAGATGTTGAATGCAAGATTGGCTTACGAGATGGGATTGGCAAGCGCCAATGATGCAAAACAGAAAAGATTGGTGGCACGCCGAAGAACCGAAGATTGGATTTGTCCATCTAGATCTTTGACACATCGCCAGATGGGTGGGATGCCTGCCAGATGTTTCGCTCAAGTTCCTTTTCTCGCCAGGTGGTGCCGCAGGGTGACGAAGAGGAGGGGAGCAGCACTGGATCCATGTCCACGGTGTGGCCCGTGGCTAACTTAATTGGATGTGGAGCCTCGGAGCCCTTTTGGTTGGCTTGGCTGGCATGCAAAGGAAGCCAAAAGGAACCCACAGCTATGGGACAAATCCGATTTTGAGAGATATTTTTTTCAGATTTTTGTCTGACTGAGATCTTTGGAGTGGGCACCTCTCGGGATACCTTCCCTGCCCGTGCTGGGCTTAGGGAAAGGTGTGGCCTTTAGGGTTTGGGTTGCGAGTCACCGCAGGCACAGTTGCGGCGACGACACCGCCGGGCCCCCAAAAAAACGGTCCCTCGTAGTTGGCTCACTTGAGCCCAGGCTGAACAACTTGGGGTGTCCGCCCCGGGTGTATGAAGTGTGGCCTGACCTTGGGGAGGACAGCAGAACCAGGCCGGACATCTCTTGGTCCAAAAACGAAGCGGTGTCAAAGCCCAGGTTTTGTTGTTGTGGCCGGTGCGTCACCGGCCCGGATATCGACCTCTGGTACAACTTGTGTACCTGGCCGGATCCCAAGGCCAAGGCCGCCATTTGTCTCGATCCCCGCACGGAGTGAGGTCTTTCATCCTCATTCCGTCCTTCTTGTACTTTGCCCTGTGCCATGAGCTCATGACGCGCTGTGAAGTCCAGGGTTTAAGATTCTCCAGCTCAGACCGGGAGATGTGTTGCAGACCAGGCTCTCAGTATCTATGGGAGAAGGTCAGCCCATGGTTGCCCATCTTCACTGCTGCTGTCCTGGCTCTCAGTGAGTGGTTTTCGCACCAGGACCAACTTGCCGCAGTCAGGTGCTGCTGGCAACGATCGCTTTTCTTCTGCTGACCTCCTGTACAGACCCAGGCTGCAGAACTGTGCGTTGTTTTGCGTGCCATCAGAGAGCTCCGAGGTATTTTGCCCCGCCAGAGACTGCGCATGCGATTGCCGGGGAGCTGGCCTTATCGCCAAATGGCAGGTGCACCACCCATTTTAGAACCTATTTTAGTGGTTGGATTGGGATGTTCACTGGGGGTATGATTTGGATTTTGACCCATGGCCAAATGTCGTGACTTTACGGAGAGCGGGGCATGCCGAGGTTGGAAAACGAAGTGGCTCGAACTCTAGCACTACCTGACGATTGCGCTTCTGAGCTGAATGATGGCATGTTCTGAGCTGAATTTGCAGTTTGCCCCTTGTTTCCTGGTGAATGACACACAGAAATTAACGCCAGTCTGCTAAGGTAGCAGATGGCATGATGCCTCCGGTGTTGTCAGATCTGCTTGGCCCTTTGCGCCACCTCTCAGACTTTGCTTGGCTCGCGCGCTAAGGCGGCAGACCCAGGGTTATCGTTTCTGTCACACCTGCGAGGCCGCAGTCAGCCTGCGTTTTCCTTGCATTCGGCGGCGGATGGTGGGAATGAACCAAAACGGGGTCAGCTGAAAGGAAACCATTCCATGTCTCATTCCCTGAGCACCAGCTTGAGATTCTTGGGATTCTTGTTGGTGCAAGGTGATTCGCCCACCTCGCACCTCACACTGCAATGACTGCGGTAACTGTGTCCTTACGCTGGACACTTGGACCCAAAACACCCAGGCGTTGCGAGAGAATGTCACCGAGGTTTGACCATCACTGTCCATTCGTGAACAATTGTATTGGGCAGAGGACACCCGATTGTCTGAGGCAGCGTGGCAGTGACGCTTGGTTGTGCCAGGAACTACGTGTTTTTCTCCGCCTTCCTGATATCCACTGGGTGCGCGCAGCTCGAAGAATGAGCTCGCTGCATCTCCAATTCAAGTTGCAGGTGCCTGGGGGTCTCTGTCGCAGTGGGCGTCGGTTCCGCGCCTAAGTGGCTGCGCAGCACATGCCAGAAAGGCCCTAGCTGAGGCATTCGGTGCACACATCATGATGCCGCGTGGAAGAGAAGGTGTGGGCTGTGTGGCTGTGTGGCTGTGTGGCTGTGTGGCTGTGTGGCTGTGTGGCTGTGTGGCTGGCGGACTGAGTCACATGAGCGGCTGGTCGTTTAAGTCGGTCAGGTCCATTCACAGCTGTTGGCATCTTCCACAATTTTTCCGCATTTGCAGTAGACTTGAGAGCAGAGATCGGCAGTAGCCCGTGGATCGTGGGCTTCCTTGTCCTGATTGGGCTGGCCACGGCGGTTCTGCTTGTCGGCGCGGTGCTCGGCCGTGTTTGCCGGCAGGGCAAGGCCCCAGGGCAGCTTTGTCATGGAGGCAACCCGGAAATGGGGGTTTCCATGTGTATGGGTCAAAATAAACCCACCAGGGGACCGCAGGTTTTAGTCTTTGGTTCCATTTATCAGGGTTCCATTTTGGGTGCGCATTTTTGACCCACAGCCATTTGGCTTCCCCCAGGGTTGCCCTTTTGGTTTGTCTAGCAGGTTTCCTTTTGGTTTCCCCAAAGGTGAAAACCCTCCTTTCAAATGGAACCGCCCAGGCGTGGTGGGCTTGACCATCTTCCATCTCTTCCTCTTGTGCACTGGCAAGACCACCAAGGAGGCCCCCCGGTGGTTGCTGGGACACATTTTGCATTTTTGCTTATTTGCGGTCTAGTGGTTGAAATCCCACTTCGCTCAACTGCCCAAATCAACAATTTGTGCTTATGGCTGATTGGAATTCCAAACCACTCTGAGATCTGGATCAAGCTTTTGCTCCCAACGTCAAACGCGACGCCGCCGCTTCGCTTCGCTTCGCTTCGCCGGCCGCAGGTGTGCACCGGGCGTATGGCGCGGCACGGCCGCTCCCTCTTCGCGCGGCCGCCCTCGCTGATCCACGCGCGGGAGCACGCCGGGGGACCTGGATGGAGAAGGCCGTGAGTCAAAACCGTTGGATCCCATTTTGGTAGGTGAATTCACCATTCACTGGGGGTAGGATTCGGATTTGGACCCATGGCCATTTAAGATTTCGAACAAATCGTCGGGCGTCTTTTAAAAAACGGTTTCGTAGTTGTGGGTTCCTGCAGCATCCATGAGGAGTCATGTGGATATGTGTGCTTTTGGTGGCTACCCCTTTCAGGTCGCATTAGGGAAACCAACAGGACAACCAGCAGATTTGAGGTACCTATTTTGACACACATGTAACATACCCATTTGATTCCGCCAAGGTACTGGGTTATCTACCCACATGGACACAACACCCATGTAAATGATGTCCTACGGGTTCCCAAAATGAATGACACTTTGTGAATCAAGGCAGTCTGAAACTCGGGGTTGATTTCCAACGACGAAAACCCGAGGAGTTTGAGTCTAGGAGAGCTCAAACAAATTGAAGAGCTGGAGCCTAGGTTGACGTGCCGCTGCCTGAAAACAACGCTTTCTGAGCCATTTTCCTTGGGCCCATGTCTGAGATCAGCAGCCGTCAGAGACTGGAATGTCGGAACAGATTCGAATGGCAAAGATCAGTTGTTGGTAAGCGTTTCACCACTTATTACTACGAGCCGTGCGCTTGTGTGTGTGTGTGTGTGCAAAAAAAACCCTCACCCTGGCTGTTCATGCTGGTGGCATTGCAGACCAGCATGCTTGCAGCCTTTCAATATCTTTCGCTGCTTCTCGCAGGAAGTCGAGGTCCACAAGCGACAGTCATGGAGGGCATGTTGGATAGCACACAGACATTAGGAATGATAAGCAGTCAGGACGTTTGTAAACTTTCGAAACCAAGTTTGGGTGATTTCTCTCAGAACACGGCGCGACTGACAGACGCGGCCGGTGTGCAATGGGAAACACGTTGCTGACCGGGCAGAAGGCATGGGCCCTTGATCCCTCCTCATTGTTTCACCCAAATAGGGGCCTAAACAATCAAGCTTCCAACACGCTGACAAGGCCTGTTAGAGGTTGGCCGGGAGGAAAGCAGGGGCCACATAGAATGCGCACAAACGGGGTGTGCGCGCTCGGACAAGGGGGGCAATTCAGGCCTCAGCCACGTGCTCATGGTGTGTCAACATAAAGAGTGAGCAACAATCTGCAACCCGGCATAGGCTCACAACGAAAAGATATGTTCATCGCTTGTCTCGTACCGTTGGACTGTTAAAGCATGAAATATAGCACCTGGCCTCCAGGGAATTCACTGGTTGATCGTTTTAGTGCGACAGATGTAGCTTGGTCTCGTTTTTGTTGCAGATTGTATGCGGCCATACTGACCGCACTCACCTTCGGTCGGCAGCCTCAGACTGTCAGTCCTGGCCTTCACCGCGTTGGGCCCGTGTCTTGGGAGAACGGAGGCAGAATCTTCTATGCGACCGCTTGTCTCAACCAACAGCCGAGGCAGGCGACAACGTGACAAACAGTCAGCCTCAACGCGACATGTCATCTTGTCAAAGTGGCTGTGGGTAGGTGCACCACCCACTTTAGTCTATTTTAGTGGGGATTGGGATGTTCACTGGGGTACGGGGATTTGACCCATGGCCAAGCAATTGCAGATGGTCGACGCCCTGCTGTTCCTGCAAGATCACAAAGCAGATCTGCAGAGCTTTGGATCAAGATGCCCAAGTGAGTCTGTGATGAGATTCCATGGGGTGTTGCATTGCTTTCATGCTAGATGACTGAGGAACATCGGCGAGACTCTCACACAAGACGAGGGGCTAAGAAGGCCAAGACAAATCCTTGTCTCGAGCGATCGGGTGTGGCGTGAGGCATGCTACGAAAGAAGTGATGCTGGCCACTTGCTTCTGTGTCTTCTTCGAGTGCGCTGACTTGTTCTCCGTTTCTTCTCATGGATCGCACGCAAGGTACGTTCCTGTCACCGAGAGCAGCGATGCTAGCCGAGTACTCGCGGCTTTCTCAGGCCACTTGGCCTGGAGAGCCCGGCAAGTTCGATCGATTTCCTAGTCAATAGGACACCGCGCATCAATCAGCCAGGGTTTTTGATCCTGAGTTTGGTTTTTCAAAGTCGTTTCTAAATCTGGATTTCGGAATGGGCAGGAGCGCTCAGTCGACCAGATGAGTTCCTGCAGGCACTCCGGCACTTGACCAGATGAGACCGATGTGAATGGCGGATTCAATCTTAAGATCTATGAGCCTGTCTGAACGGGATTGCCTCTAGACAGGCTTCCCCACACATCAGCCCCAGAAAAGGCACCGTCAAAGAAAGATACCCCATGTCCATGTTGTACCCACAGAATGCGCCAGGATCTGCTGACCCTGCGGGCACAGGCCGTGCCAAAGGCGCACCGCTCGGCCGGTAGGGGCCGGCGGCAGGGTCGATGTTTGATGCGTTCGGCGCGTTGGATGGGTCCGCGAGGCCAAGATTTTCCGCCTGCAGCCCTTGGTCCATGAGGCGCAGCGGCGCGTCGGCTTTCTTTTGTTCCCGTAGCCGTTGATGGCAGGCGGACATCAACGGCACGGATTCCAGAGGAGTGCAGATCTCAGACATCAAAACAAAAGTGATAAAAAGTAGTATCAGTCATGTCAGGCATTTTTTAGGCACTATCGGTCACATTCAGTCTCACATCCGTCATATCCGGCAAATTCAGTTCAGCATGGGATTGCCGTGGTGAGGTCCTAGATTCGCTTTCTGCCTTCGCTCGCGCAGCTCTGGAGAGTGCCCAGGTGGGTTGCCCGAGCCATGCGCTTGGATTGCTTGGATCTGCCAGATCTACAGTGAGATACGAGATGCAGTAGATGCAGGACAGCTTGATCGACAGCAGGCGAGCGATGGCGTTCTGCATCGTTTGCTTGCAATCTCCCAGCACCTCCTTTTGATCGAGCTTGTGAGGCAGCCAACGTGCTGGATAGCTTGGAAAGTGACCAGAGGCCAGGGTGGCCAAGTGAATCATCCATTTGGCTCAGCTTGATCGCCTTTTCGGCTCAGGAGGATGATGAATGCCATGGACACTGTGCAGGAGGCGACCTCCCCGTGATCATGGCTTCTCTCAGCTTAGCCGAAGCTGAGAGGGGAAGCGCCATTGGCGTCAATGGCGGGGGGATGCGGTGAGAAAGTGCTGCGTTGGCATGAGAGTTTGGTCTTGTTGCGATATCCGAATGTTGGCTGTGCTCGAAATGTCCAGGAAAGAATATGATCTTGAGCCAGGTCATATGGTCAGGGAACATATCAATGATCTTTTGGCAGCTCCAGCAAAGCATCATCACATGAACTCGTGACTTTACACATCCAAGTTTGACCCAGGCAGTCTTCCGGAATTCCCGATTTGCAACCGGTTTCGTCTTCAGATGACCGCCCGCGCACTGCAGCACCAGTCGCACTTCACCTGGCAGTCTCGTTGCGCGCCGCGCTCCACGGGGGACGAGCTGCCCGGGAAGTGGCGCGAGCGTGCAGCGCAGCACCGAGCGCTGTGCCCGGTGCTGCAGGGCCAAAGACCGCCCAAGCCGCAGCACGTGGCATATGCGAAGGCGGCCGCGCCGGACGCCGAGCTCGAGAGCCTCAACCATGTTGCGGAGGTGCAGGGAGTTGCGATTGCCGAACGAGCCGAAGGCGAGGAGTTGGACGGCGACTGGGGCGCTTTGTCCCGGGTGGAGATCTCCCGCTACATCTCCCGGCGCAGCGCCGGGCTGGCGCTGAGCGCCGAGTCCTCGCGCCAGCGCCGCGCGGCGGCCGCCGCGCGCGAGTGGACAGAAGTCCCGGGCGCGCACGCGGATGTGATCGAGGGGCTGGAGGATGCGGAGGCGTGGAAGGTGGCTTTGGAGGCCATCGCCTTCGAAACTTGGCAGTTCCCATGGGAGCTGATCGAGTTTTGAGGTTTGAGTTGGATTGGAGAAGTATCGACTTGACGCATGCCATGATTTTGGTTGTTGTTTTTTGTTTGTTTTTGTTTTTGTTCTTCTCCCCAATCAACGAAGGAAAGGACTCATTTGAGGCGGGGGACTTCGAACTCGTGGCCTGACGCCTTGTGGTCCCCGTCCTGCTTGAGCCCGGAGGCGGCAGAGGACCTGGAGGCCAAGATTTGTGGCTTCCTGACACTGGAGGCCGCGAGGCTGAAATCGGAGCGCCATGCGCAACCACTGGTCCAACTCCCCTTTCACAGGAAACCAACCGCAGGGTTGTTGAAAGGAAGACCCCAGGCCTGCCTAAAAAGGGGAACTGGTTAGAGGCATGGCATTGCATTCGTTTTTTTGGGCCTCTTCCCACTCTTCCAGTCCCTTTCCGTCCGATGTTTCGCGGCCCAGGCTGGCCGACTGAGCCAGTGCAAGGCGCTGCCGGTGGCGGTGCTGCTGCGGCATTTGCAGTGCGACTGCCGCGCCGCGCGCGGCGATTTGCGGGGCGCGGCCGAGGCCTTGGCGGGGGCCGTGGCCCAGGAGACGGGCGCGGACCCGCTGCGCCCCCCGCTGCTCTTCGGCTGGGAGGCGACGGCGGTCGGAACGACCCAACTTGGAAGCCATGGCTTGAAGTTGCCCAACTCCCTCACCATGGTTTAGGCCTTTTGCCCCCATTGTTCAAGCCACCTCTGCCGTGTTTCCCTCGGCCAGGGCCTCGAAACGAGTTTTGCCCCGAGGACTCGCTGAGCTGCGACTACCTCAAGGCGCAGCACTGCGCGCGTCTGGCGCGCCTGGCCTTCCTGGCGGCCGAAGCAGCTCGAGAGACTGCGGAGGCAGGTGTCGTGTGACTGGAGGCCACCTGTTTTGGTTGAATCATGCAGGAACAAGACGGAAACAAACGTGGCCCCCGGGTTTTTCACACTCAAGACATACCCACATAGTGCGGCACACGCACACGAGTGGATTATTATACCTGGAGGGCATTTGGGTCTCAGCTTGTCCAGACTCGGCACACCGCGTCAGGGTACAAAAACAAAGCTATCATGGCCATTCCCTGGATATCTTGCAGCGGTCCTTGTTCCATCCTCAATGCTTTTGAACTTGCAACTCTCAGTTTCCAATCCCTTCACCGTATTTTTCCGGCGGAGGCCGACCCCAACCTGAAGCTACGCAGAGCCATGGGCTCAATTTTGTGGCAACAGCACAAGCCATTGGCCAGAGCTCGGGGGGTTCTACGGCCCTCATCTTGAGCCCATGGGATGCCGTGGATTGTGCCGGCGCATGTCGCCATGTCGCCTAAGGCCTCTCAGTTGGACCAAGCCAACAAAGCCTTGGTGGCAGCCGCAGCCTAAAGCAGCCATTCGGGGGTAGGGGCCCTAGGGGTAAATACCACAAACCCCACTGCAAGTTCCTCAAACCATGGTACGCAATCACAGAGACACACACTTGTGGTAATCCCCCCTCTTTGATTTATGCTTCGGCTCTCCTATGCGTGTGCTCGTGGCTTGTTGATCTAGTTACAGTCGAGGGTACAGGATCATAAGCCGCAATGGCTAAACGGGAAAATGGTGAGACATCGGAGTAATGAAACTGAATTAATCGGAGCAAGGTTTGTAGCAAAGGGGCTCTAAACGCAAACAGCGCCAAAAAGTTCAAATGGGACAGCAAGCTGCGTCAACTGCGCCCATGCCTGTCCGTGACAAGCAGGTACGTTTTCACCCCGGCTCAGGGGCGTCTTCGTTGGCCAGAGTCCCCTGAGCCGGGCTCTGGCCCCCTGCGTGTCATGCTTCGTCTGATTGGAAAAATTGCGCAGGCTAGCTAATCTACCCGTTTGCCCCAGATTGGGCATTGGTCTGGCGCGTGAAAAGCGCTAGTTCAAATGGTAAATGCGCCTGGCGCATTAAGCAGCCTGGTGCAGCCATTCCAGACCGCTGCGGCAAAAAACACGAGAGGCCCTTAGTGACAGGGTTGGACACACACAGCCAGCCCAACGGGCGACTCTGCACGTTAAAGCGCAATAACAGAAAAGCCTTTGATGACTAGGTACCAACACAGGCATCTGGCTCTTCGGGCAAGAGCTCGCGAGCTCAGGGAACCGGCGTGGGGATCAGGGGCGAGAGGTATAGCATCCCTCTTTGTTGGATGAAACTGCGGTGAACACCAAAGCCGCCAATTGTTCGGTGGGAGGGTTCCTTCAAAAGGTAGCCGGAAAAAACCAAAAAGAGAGAGAGGGACCGTGTTGTCGGTCCTCAAATATATGGGGCATATGCAACTCAGATCATGGTTCGCCGAGGCAAAGTACATCCGAAACCGCTGAAAAATCCGAGTGCTCGGCACGGAAGCGTTCAACACTGCAAAGGTCTTTGCGCTCCACGGAAACTCCGGCAGGGAATCCAATCACGCCCAGGAATTCCTTCCTCACCTAGTCCCCTGGCCATTGCGGCGTCCAAGGCCAGAACGCCCCAAGAAAACCAAGAAGCCCGAGAGGGACCCAACCACACCCAGGGATTCCTTCCTGTGCCCTGCCCCCCAAGCCATTGCGGCGAACAACCACGTGCGGCTGGAGGGAGGCAGGCCAGGCAAAAACAAAGGAAAACCCCAAGAAAACCAAAGAAAGAAAACAAAGAAGCCCAGCGACACGCAGGGATTCCTTCCTGTGCCCTACCCCCCTGGCCAATGCGGCGTGTAACCACGTGCGGCTGGAGGGAGGCAGGCCAGGCCAAACAAAGGAACGCCCCAAGAAAACCAAGAAAACCAAGAAACACAGGCGGGGAATCCACCCAGGGATTCCTTCCTGTGCCCTGCCCCCCTGGCCATCGCGGCGTATGACCACGTGCAGCCGGAGGGGAGGCAGGCCAGGCTAAACCCAGAACCACCCCCACGAAACCCAACCACACTCCGAGATTGCGTGACGTCTCGCCAACCTGGGTGGCCTGAAGGCTCAAACGGTCTGGAATTTGCGACTTCTGAGATTAAAGGCACAGGAAACCAAAAGCTTGGATTCGAGCCGAAAGCAGAACAAAAAAGCAAACGTGGTAGTGCCCATGCTGTACAGCGAACATGGCACGATGGCACGTGGTCACAAAATTGACTACGATCAGAACATCACACCGACGTACAGGGCATTTTTTGCAACGCTGTCAAGATGCTTATCATGCGAACATGCCGGAACGGATTAAAAGGTCAGGTGCAATAGCTGATGCGACAAGGCCATGCCATGCAACACCCCGAATCACGAATCTGAATTATTCGCCGCTGGATATCAGCGACCAAGGATTAGTCAGGATTGTATGGCAACTGATGGGCGCAGTGGCTGGGGCAACCACTTGGTGCCCCAGTTGTCTGAGTGATCTTGCACTAGGAACACTCCGTCGATGGCAGCCAAATCGCTGCGCACACACCATCGTTTGTCTTTGCTGCCACTACGCACTGCGGGGTAAGAATAGGCAAGAGCTTGTTCCTTCCAGGTATTCCCTCGGTTGAACTTGTAATGAGTGCCGGACACAGTCCCCGTTACTCCCACATTGGTGGTGTTTTTGGGGTGCTCCGAGCACGCAAGCAAAAAGTCAAGGATACTCCGCTCATGGTAGCACTCGGTCGAAACTCTACAGAAAAAAACCTAATGGGCATTTCCTGCCGACCTGGGACTCATTTTCAGAGTCAAGCGCTAAGGTTTCAGCCGAAGTTGGCATGATGATGCCGGTGCGAAATATCCCGGCTAGGCCTAGCTGAGAAGAAAAATGAACAAACCGCATGGAATACTCGCCAGCTACACGGTCTTGATTGACTCCGGGAAAAGCTTGGGACGGGTACAGCCAAACAGCGGTGCCGGTAGTGGCTGTAGCTGCTACCGCACGCTGGACAAAAATCTGGGTGTACGGCATTTCCGAAGCAATGATCGCGCTGGCCAAAACATGCACGGTTGAGATCGGAACACCATTGACCGGGTCCTCTGGTGCTACGGGCGCCAAAACTAAAAGGTGCCGAACGCATTGTTCCACACTTGACGGCGGGACACGGCTGAAAGGTGTCACATTAGCTTGAACCCAGGCCTTTCGGCGCTGGTGTTCCACGACGTCTTGAATCGTCAACGGGAACAGCCAGTGCGGGGAGAGCATGTTATCTGCCTGTCGTCGAAGAATGCGTTGAAGCCAGTCTTGGACTGTCTGATCAACGAACGTCTGGCCAGGCACAATGAGACCACTCGCGGTGAATTCCGACTCCCGATTTTCAACTGAGGTTCGAACAACGAGGTTTGCATCAGGTTTTGACCCTGCTGCCTCGGGATGTTTCGGAGTAGTGTCCTTCTCAAGGAC